ATATTTGTGGTTGATACTAAACCACACGTATACCAATCGCAATTGACAACCGATTGATCGTCAAATCAATCAAATTCCATTCGATGACATGCATAGCAATGGTGCTGCACCACTGGTGCATCTGTGACACATTTATTATACAAATGTATCATTTTCGAATGACCTTAATTTGTTTAAATATTTGGTTTTAATTTTGTTTAAAAGAACATTTTTTTGCTGTACCATTACTATTTCCAAATAATTTATTCAAATGCAAAAAATATATATTTCATTGCTGGCATAATGAAATTTATGAAGATTGGAAATATGTATTATTGTGACAGAATTTCACCCTATGGAATCTATATAAATATTTCGAATATTTTTGTCACTCGTGCAGACTGCCGCCCAAAACGATAACATTTCTTCATACATCAACCGAAAATCAAATATGTATAATAGAGTTGAGAATTTTATTTAATCGGAATTGTTGATGAATATTTGCGCACAAAATAATGTTCAAACAATTAACATTCGCATTTCTTGAACGTTTTCAACCGATTCGTTTCGAGAGAATACTTTTACATTGAATCAATAAATTTATAAACAATTTTAATACCGAATAATTAATTATAAACTTAAGTCATACCTTCTTCACAGCTATCACTAATGCGTTCGTATTGAGTGCGTTTTGATTTTGTAAAATATTTATACATTGCTTTAAACGATTTTTTTAAATAAATGGAATTGTAGTTATTTCATAAATTGGATTACTTTTTGTACGGTACAAAAATGTGAATCTCAATCACAGAATATATCAAAATAAAACTCAATCACACAACACAAGCCACCAAAAAACTATCGCATGATATTGACGTATTATCATCAATTACATTTGAATGACTGATTGTTGTCATTCGAATTGATTGTTGGTATCAGTTGAAGTTTTGTTATCGTTTTTTGAATTACATTTTCCTTGGACTGTGATAATAAATTTTTATCGAGAATCGAATCGTTCGTAGCACTTTTTTTTTCTTTTTGTGGCCGGCCGTTCGTTCGTAGAAAATGAAATATTCGCGATTCTATGAAGTTTCTGGTCTCGTGACTGCAGCCATGTTATCAGTCATGACAAAAGCCACAATTTTCGCCCTCTTATCAGTGAGCCGCAAATTGCAAAAATACAAAATCAAGCCAGTGGAAATAAGGAAACCAAAAGACGTTCTTCGAATACCTCCTCGAAGTTGATTTTGATGATCGGTGTAAAACTTTGACTCTGAAGAGATACTTATGAGAAAAATGCTTATTTTCAATTCGAACGCTGTAGTGGGATCCGTGTATTTGGTATTAGAATATGAAATTGTTGTATGCATTGTAGAAATTATCGATCAGTGATTCCTATTAAATACATCCCATGGCATATAACGACGAATCGCAATGAGTAGTTTTCTGGATGTGAAATAGAAAAAGTCAGTGAATCGAAAAATGGATATAGAGAATAAAATAGATTGGTATTACGGTTGCGACGATTTGGTTAGATTCTTGAAAAGTTTTCTAATGAGATTTAAATTAAAATTTCACAATATCCTCCGCAATGTTTCACAACCGCATTTTGAATACATTAAAAGTTTAAGTAGTTTACGCTCACAAACTGCGTTTAATATTAATGTAGCGCTAAATATTCCATGTAATTACTTCGGATTCTCTATAGATGAATTTTGATTTCGCAGGTGTTCGTTTTTCGTGGCGAATAGTTTACCAGTGAAATGTCATCAGTTGTTTCATTCCTTTTGTGCGTTGATTCTACTACCTGCTGCTTTATTTTTCATTTAAGTTTGTTATCATTTTCATTGCTTCAAAAAAATGTTCTTCATCCGTTTATTTGCCATCGTCACCTTTTCATCAAAATTGATGCAGATTACAAATTTATACATATGTATTTGTACATTATCGTGCAGAAGTTTTAGGCCACGATTTTCATACATCGAATGATTTTCATTGGAGTTTACTTAGTGTGAAATATCAACATTTTTTGAATGTAGTCCCAATTTATAGAGGATGTAAAACACTAAACTCATGACCATGGCGAATATCTTATGTGTGCAAATCAACGAAATTTTTTGTACGATAGTGTATGCAAAATGTATAATCGAAATGTTTTCGCATTCGAATTTTTCTGTTTGAGTGCCTTGCTTAAACCGTTAGCTTGAAAATTAGTTGGCATGGAGATGTCCTGTGAGATGCATTAAAAATGATTTAGATACTGACGACTTTCATAATGGCCTTAACTCTTCTATTAAATGTTTCACGTACCGCTCATAATTCGTGAGTTTTCCAAATTCATTTTGGCATAAAAAAAAGAAATATGTCCCCTGAAACGGTAGCTATGACGAAAAAAAGGGAAATGCATACCACGTTTATTGCTTCAAATATTCATGGGTTGCTTTTTTCCAGTGTTTTTGTTTTGTTCCGATGTGTTTTTTTAGTATTTTTGTTTTGCTTCCATTCATATTTTTCGACGAAAAACAAACTTCGGACCAAATCATAAAACGAAAACGAAAATTAAATTTACAAATGGCTGCATTACGAAGAGCATGCAATATATGTTTGTTCAATGTACGAAATATTATCCATATAAATTTATTTATTCTTTCGTCGTTCTCTCTTTCTCTCTTTTGGCGCACAGCAAAAGAAAGTTGACAAACAAATCAAAACAACTTCAAATCCATATCATTTCAACACATTTGCTTGATATATTGAATTCGTTGTGCTCAACACATGTACAAAATACCAACGATTTTGATGAAACCACATTCAAATTGCTATATGTCAATCGTTTCCTGTATGCGAAAGAGAGAGAGAGAGAGAGAGAGATTGTGTGTTATTTGTGTGTCGACATATCGATTTATTTATTGTGAAAACGCTTAGCGAACACAAATTGCGCAATTACATGTCCACTTATGGGAATGCCTTTCATATTGTATAGATTTTAAGTTTAACATTGGCAATAATATAAATTCAAGTTTCATTGAATGGAGGGGTTGTATGCTGAGCATTTCCAATTTCCTCGTCGAAACAAAGCCGCGAAAATGTCTACGATGCAAAATCCGTTATTCTTCGAATACTTTCATCAAACGATATTCAAATAACAATCACATTTGATTTATTTTCGAGCATTTATATTGACAAATTAATTTGGAAAATACATTTTCATATAAATTATGCCACATTGTAAATTGGTTTTTGTCCAATACCAAATCATATTCATTATAAATGTATTCATTATAGCTGAAGGTGCAAAAACTTTGAATGAATAGATAGAACTATGCGTTGTGAAACCACCAACATTGTTACGAAAGCGAATTGATTTGCAAACAAATGCTACTGCTTTTATCAATTATTTTATACTATATGTTGGAACAATGTTCAATAAGAGAAGATTTTTAAGCAGGCAAATTAGATGCAATATCACATACATAATATGCAACAATTTCTAACTGACGGCTGCTTTCTTGATGCGGCTCAGTTTAGTTCAAACTCAATAAAAGCATCTTGAACAATAACCAAAGTTAGTTTATATAAGTTTTGACTGAAAACTTTGTATTTTAACTTGTGATTTTCTTCGCTTTCACTCTCCTCCGCATCTATCATGCAAGGCAAAATATGAATGTGAACGATGTTCCAGCCCCAATTCAACCTCAGTCGATTGATTTGCAAGTTAAAATGAACAAAAAACACTTTACGAGCTGAAGAGAGTGAAACAAAAATATTAAAAACTATTTGATTGATTTTGACTTTGGCGCTGTAGATTTATTGCATATAAAAAAAGCTTTTTGTTAACTTTTTAACTCTTTCAATTTGTTTTTGTTCGATGAGAAGAACTTCCTATTTGAAAACTCAAAATGACAAATAACATGGAAATGCTGAGAGTACCGTTCAATATTTATTGACGTCGAACATCTTACGCTGTTCCTCATAAACAAATAACACATCAGCTTTTTTTCTTCTTCAATCGACCGTACTTGAGTGCAAAAATAATACTTCGCCGATGAAAAATCTTCGGTGACTTTTCATTGTTTTTTTTTGTGTTTACCAATTGTTATATAATGTGGTTTGAATCGGAAACAAATAGATAATTCGAACAAAATTCGTTCGGGATTGACATTTGGTGTTTGAACTGTTGCAAGTCGAACGAATAGCAATTGGTTTGATTGTGTGATAATGTATGATGATCAGAAGTTAGTGAAGCCAAAAAGTGTTAAATGGTCTAAGAGAAATAACAAATATCGGAAAAAATTCCAAACAAGAAGCAGATGCTTTCTTTCTCTCTCGTTTTTCAATTTCCAAAGTAAAATGGTTCAATTTCTGTGTCCACATCCAAATAAAATTAATGTTTTTGGCAATTTTTCTCTAAGGAGTAAAACGACAAATGGTCAACCGACCGCCCGCATTGCTTCGATAACTACAATTCATCTCTGTTAAAACTAATGACAAACAATTCATTGAGGCGCATTTGCAACTAAACAGAATGTGAACCACAACACACACACATTCCCATATACATACAGAACGACATTTAGTTGAATGAAAATAAAGCATAACTAGAGTAATCAGCTTTCGTGTTTGACTCGATGTTACTGTGTATGTGTTTACTCAAAATGTTCAAAAGTATTCAACAGCCGAAACGAAATGAGTTCTGAGAACTGTTAACAACATGCTGCTGGTATCTATATGAAATGTATTGATGTTGAAGCTATTTTTCAATGATTGTGAACCGATTTTGAAAAGTGGTAACATTCTGACGTGTTTCGAAAGTTTCACTTGGGGAACACAAATAGTTTTGTCTATTTTATTTCCAAAATTGTGCATGTTGAAAATTAATTATTCTGATGGTATGACATGTTGACAATGCACTTTGTATCGAGAATGGCATGACTTCGTTAAAAAAATGGACAACCAAAGAGAAAATAAAATTGGTAAAGATTTATCGAATTGTTAATGTGATTTGTTTCTTTTATTTCCAGCAATTAAAAATGCAGGTGGTGCAAATAAATGTTTCTGCTACATATTGATGAGATGTGGTACAAAAATGATTGATACATAGTTGAGTGTGCGATAGTATACTGAGTAAATGAAAGTCTCAACAAAAATAAGAAGAAGAAAAAAAAATTGAGCGTGTGAGTTAAGAAAAATCGAGTAGAATTGTAGATAAACTATGAATCTACAAGAACTGTATATCTTAATCAAACCAATCAATATCGATTTTGTTGGTGTTCAAGTGTAAATTGAATTGAGTGCTAGAGAAAAGTTATTGTCGGTGTTGAGGTGAACTAGTGCGTGTGTGTCTGTGTGTGTGCGTATCGAAATGTCGCAAATGGAGGCGAGTGACGGTGAAACGGTTGTTGATAATGATGAAACGGTGAATGTGATTCATACAAATCGATGCATGCATCTAACGCTTCGAATTCTATTCTCAACACCGGGACTTTGTGTCTTAGTTGTGCTGTATTCATTGATGGGAGCGGCAATATTTCCATTTTTCGAGTCACCGCTCGAACTTCACAATATGGCTGTCATCAAAAGTCGAGAAGAATGCTTGCGTGAATTATGGACAATTACCGGTAAGTGATTGAATGAAGAAGAAAAAAAAACTTGTTCATCAGCAGAATTTGTAATCAAACAGTTTTGGTCGATGCATTTTTCGGTACACATTTTTGCTCTTGTGAATTGGCAGACGGTATCCGCTGTAATGAACTCGGATTAATGTAGCAATAAGTTTGCATTAGAATGATGATGGAGAGTATCGATGATAAATAATATCATATCCGATGGTTGTTTCGGTAAAAGTAGCTCATTGAAGACATATCATCATAATTTTCAATTAATAATATGTCATAATGAATGAAATACAATGAATAAATTGATGTCCATATATTAGATCGATTCCGGACTCACATTCATCTGGCTCATTGTTCATTGGTCTTTAGTTTGCTAATGCTGGGTATAATAAATGTGCATAAAATATGAGCGATTCGCTTTTTCTCTCATCCCATCCATTTCCACTATTCATCGATCCGATTTTTTTCGTTTTTTTTTCGCTTACAACTTAATCCTATATGTTTATAGAATCGATAAGTGGTTGCCTAATGCAATAGATTTGATCATTGACCATCTTTTATATGCTCAATGTGATGACTTTTAAACTTTGTACATTAATAGCAGCGATGCCAATCTGCCCGACCTTCAAACTTCGACATTATTTTCGGGCGAGTTGCTGTACCCCCCATAAAACTAAGTAAATTGAACCTGGTCGAATCATATGTGTATTTTCCCAAAGTTGTATGATTATATTTTAATATAGCTGCGATACGTGACATTTGGCACACATGCAGAAATTAGGTTCATCAAATATGAAAACACTATTTATCTGAGGTATTAGCTCATTTTCGTACATCATACAATGGTAGTATAGCTGTAGTAACAGTAGCAGCAGCAGGCACAGTATCTCTATAAACCATATGTATCGTACAAAGACTTTGAGGACATTGCCATTAGAACCACATTTCACTTTGGCAAGCATGTGGAAATAAGCCAAGCACATTCAGTACACATACACAAATAGTTTCGAAGACAAATATATTGTACGCAATGTTATAAATGTCCACAGATGACATTTATAATGAATAATCATCATCATCTCTCATCTCTTCTTAACGGTGCTGCTTTTACCGTCTTGTTTTGATGAAAAATAATTTTCATTAAGTCGTTCACTCGTTGATCATGTTAATCGATTCAGAAGGAAATTTTTCATTTGATAGTAATCTGCTTAGTGGTTCCAATTATCGACTTTTCATCACACCCAAGAAAAATAGAATTCAACGATATTTCATGTTAGCTTGTGTGACATACGAAGGAAACACATTGGCCGAAATTCTTATAGTATGCTCATTTTTTTTTTGTTTGCTGTCTCAGGATGTCAAAAATTAAAAACGATTGTTTTCTTTAATTGAGCTTGAGCAATTATACTAAATTCAGTGAACGAAAAGTGACTCACATCTAAAATGACATTTGGTTGGCTTCCCGGAAAATACAAATCGTTTAATGCGCTTTGTGTATTCGTTTGTTTTACGAAATAGAATAAGCTGCATTAAGTTGGAAACGTATAAATGCTATAATCATACACAAACATTGTCATATCATTCTGGACAGTATGAAATATATATATTTTCGATGGTTTATTCCTATTTGCTTTCTCTACTGGAAAGTCTCAAGTTGAAACCGTTAATTCAAAAATGAAATACAGAAAATAATAATTGGCCACGGCAATTGTTTTCCGAAATTTAATCAAAAGAATATTGCAATACAGGTCAAAAGTTTAAATTCAATTAAAATGGACGTTTTTCGATTTTGCAATTGTTTTTCTTCAAATTGATTCCAATAATATTTCGTTTTATTGCTTCAAGTTGAAAAAAAAAAGTTGAAAAGGGGGTTTTGCTTCGGTTCGGATCAAAAATCGATTAGGGAAAAATTTCAGTCCAAAAGACCCTAGGAAATCGAGTGAAGAGGTCCTCGATTTCAAGCGGGTAACACACCATCAGGATGGAGTGTAATCGAACTCAGACTCAGATAGTCAGAAAGTATGAATATCAATTGCATTTCCAAACACCAATTTTTGCATCGATGTATTAACAAAGGCCTATATTAGTGGGCAAATGTCAAGTGTTTTTCTCGAAATATATTCCGTTTTTGAACACAAATTCTATGAAAACAATGAGTGACAAGTTGTCATTTACAACTGAGCTAATTTTCGGAAGATTTTCATATAGTTTACAAAAGTTCTTTTTGGTCATACATAAAATTCACCTCAAAGCAAACCGAAAAAAGTGCTCATGAATAAATTCCATCATCAGCTAAAACAATTTTGTCCATTGAATTGATTATTTCGCGTAAATTCAATCAAAGAGAGACGATCAATGCGGTGTTGTATATTCCAGATAAATTGAATTTCGAATTTTCATTGAAATGGTATGAATTAAATTGCTTAATTAGAATGTTTTCGTTTCAATTATTCCTATTAAATTCTCGAGCACATTCAATAATCCACACAATAATTAAATCAAATCGAATTTACATGAAAACAAAACGGAAATTTTGCATTTTATATGTCAGCGCATCAGTACAGGAAAATATTTTGTGTGTTGAATGTACAGGAGCATATAAAAAATGGTATGTAATACAAGTGCACGTATGTTGCAGTGGTCACATTCAGACCGTATTCATGGTTTCAAGCATTGTGCGCATTTAAATCGTAAATTCATCGCCAATTTCTGAACATTTTAACAATTGTGCACATGATATGCACATGAATATTGAATGAAACTAATTTGTTGTTTTGTCTGTTTTGCAGAGCGTTTAAATGTGTTGTATGAACGGAATTGGACAATGCTGGTGCACGAACAATTGCGACGCTTTGAAGGTTCCATTATAAAAGCAACCAAAGGGGGCTTAAGCGAAGCAATGGGCGACCGTTTACCACGATGGACATTCACCGAAGCGCTTTTATACTCCATAACATTGATCACGACAATTGGTAATTTTAAATAATCCCCAATCCCAGAAATCATATGCATCGCTTGCAGTTGACGGCAGTTGTTTTTTTTCCCTCTTTTTTTACAAATCCTTTTGTTTGTTTTTTCTTTCAAATACACATTTAATACGGAATCGAAGATAAATGAGAAGTGATTTTTGTATTGTAAACATCAGACTTCAAATTTAAATTTGCACACATAGAGACGCGACTATCGATTTTTTTTGTTCTGTCCCATAGTCGACGAACGACACAGGTCTCAATTTAACATACACGCGTAAATTGATAATGTGAAATTGAAGCCCGAATCAACGGAAGAATACTATACTAAAACTAATCCGATAATCTTTTCGTTATTTTGTCCCCGTCTCTTTACTCGAAACACTATTGGCTGGTCCGGAGTTTATTAAATTGAACATTGACCGTATACAGAGGTTCGATGACCCTTCTGCAACTGCAACTCATATTAATCGAAATAAAGTAGACAGCATTATATATATATATATATCGATATATCCTTAGTCTACCATACAATACGTATGGCTTTATTATTTCATTTTCAGTGTTTCACATTTCGCATTGCGACAGAATAAGATATGTTTAAGTGAAAATTCGTTTCGAATTACACTCATACAATTGTCGAATTGTTTGATAAGTTTCATTCATTCCGACACCGAGTTCGTTTACAAGGGTGCATCAAAATCATACCGGAAATGTATTCGTGTCATGGACTTTATCTGTGCCCAATACAACCGTAAAAATCCTTCCAATCAATTGGGTCTTGAGCCAAATGATAGATGAGAAACCATCATATGTACGAACCCATTCAGTCGTCCATATCTTTTCATACGGATGCAAGCGAGAGAGCATGATGAACAAATATATCGGATTAAATACGGCATGCAAATATATCTTTTCATCGATTATTATTCAAACAGCGAATCGATTTAAGCAGCAATTCGATCTCGATTTCTCAAGCGGCATCTTCCAAAAACCACAATGTGCATGTCTCTCTTCCACTCTCTTTTTATCCTTCTGTCTCCGTGTATCATCTTTTTTTCGTATGCATTTCTCTCTTTCTCTATCATCTCGCACCGTGTCTCGTGCACATCTTCTGAAATTCAAAACTATCGAACGTAGAATTATCATTGTGTGTTGTGTGTGAAAAGTTTTCAAAACCGATATTTGATTCGTTACACGAAATCAAATTACATTTTCAACATGAGAAATGTGTGCAGATTAGACTCGTTTTATTCATTCATTTTATTATTATCACCGAACATGGCACCACAGATGAATATTTAGAAGTCTTGTCAATTGTATTTTGAACACATTGTATACGTCACACACACACACACACACTCAACTTCCCATTTTATCATTTATTCTCATATATTCAATTGAATTGAATTGAATTTAACGTTGAATAACTGGAGCGCTTTGAATTTTTATACGTTTCATCCGAATCCCAAACCGTGTAAACATAATAGATCAAAATTACAACCGACAACAAAAGTTTATTGAATTTCAAGGGACTCTTTCATACATTACATTTTACCGGAAAATCGAATGGATCAGGTGCAAAAGCGTTCATTTTTACCGAGAAAAAACACTTTTCAAATAATACCATTGAGTCACATTGTCTTATTTCGGTACATTCACCGACTTTTCACATTTTGAAAATCGAATTTTATTATTGGGTACAAACTATTCAATATTTAACAATGGAAAAGAGTTGTAAACACTCATATAGATATGTTTTTTCTCTGGGATGGCATAAAATGTTTTATAAATACGGTAAAATCTTTTTAGGCTATGGAAGCTTAACCCCGAAAACGGTTGAAGGAAAAATCGTAACGATGATGTATGCCTTGATTGGTGTACCGTTAATGTTGATGTGTTTATCAAATTTGGGACGAGTTTTGGCCGAATCGGTGAGACAAACTTACGCAAGACTTTGCATTCGACAATCAGAACATCAAAAATGTCCCACCGAAGACATTGACGATCAAGACCCATATGGTGGACACACCTATCAGTCGGCCGATGATAAAAATGAGGTATTAAATTTATACATTAGTTATTAGAATGAAAATTAGGCACATCTTTCTTATGTTAGGCAAAAATATTTTAAGGTAATGAACATTTGATTAATAAAATGATAATAATGTTTCCAGATCCAAAATTGTCATTTATGTCAATACAATGATATTTCAAAAGAATCACCTATGTACAGAGCTAACGATCGAAATGGTATACATCTGTGTTTTTTTTGTTTAATTTAATTAAATTTTAATGAAGTCGAGGTGATATTCTGCGCACGGAATCATTCATTTTGCTCCTTAAGAAAATCGAAAATTTGGAGTCCCATTAATAGAGTCTTAGACTTGTTTAGAGGGGTTTAATCGCGACCCTCACTCAGACAGAGCTGTTATAGGCACCGCGGAAGTGCGGACAAGTGCTGCTCAATCTTTTGAATATAAGAGCGGCACTTGAAAATTCATATGAAATAAGTGCGCCCCCTCCGTAACATTCAACCGCGCTTAAAAACAAGCGCTTCGTATGCTATGTTTGTACTGTGTACCAACGCTCTTACTTTTTCTTAAACATAAAGTATATGGATAAGTACAGAAATAAGAGCAAGCGCTTGTTTTTACGCGCGGTTGTATGTTACGGGATTCACTAGTCTCCTGTGCCAATAAAAATTCTCGGACCATCTATTTTATGATATGTACAATGATTCTGTGCACAGAATACCATTGCTTAGAGATGAAAGTAAATATTGTGCAATTTCGTAAACAGGTGCATATCATCTCATATCGAATTCACCCACCAAATCCATTTTAACAAATTCTCAACATTCATCGCCACAACGGATGGCCATGGCTTCAGATCATCCGTTAAATCAACAGCCAACAAATCTACCAATTGGATCGCCGCATAAAAGTTACGTAATGCTACCATTGCGAGCCATTAAAGATTCACCAAATCATCAACTTATTCAAATTCAACATTCAAATCTGGACAACTATTGCCGTAAGTTATTCTATATTCACTTTGAAATTATTACAAATATTTTAATTTGCTTCATACTTGGTGATAAGCTGCTTCTTCACATTTAAATATAGAACTGGAAAATATTACGCTAGACTTTGTTCTCATTAGAAAATCGAGCTTTCATTTCCTTTTGCTATAATTTGTCAACAGCAATTATGAAATGTTTTTTTTTCCTTCAAAGTTTATATATTTCAAAAAAAGTGACTTGATTATTTAATTCGAATGTTATCAATGGTGTTTTATTGCAGTAAGTCGACTTCAGTATCACTTTCAACCGACTACAACTGGTCCACATGCAATTTTTATGCAAAAAGATACAAACGGAGAGCATTATATGGTACCACCGACGCAATCGAATCCATTGTATGTGCCATCTTCGAATCCGTGCCAATCCACGATGCCAGCCCAACAACAGCATCATCATCAACAGCAACAACAACAGCAGCATCATCCGCAACAACAATTTCATGTGCTTCGTTTGCAAGGCAATCCGCCAAATTCTCAAAACAATGAACATCGCAGCAACAACCAGACAATGCATATCAAACAACTCCATACAGCCACTGTTCATGGTAAGCATTCATTGCCTTTCATTCATTTCCTTTATTTCTTCTGACCGTTTTGCCCATTGTTCAATGCAAAAAAGTCGTAAAAAACAAAACTTGTTTATTATTTTGCATTTTATTGTATTATAAAATGCGTATACATTCGAATGAAACACATAAATCCAACATAATTAAATGATGGTTAATTTGAGAATTTTGTTACGTACAATTTTTGTTTATCATCATTATTAAACATCGACATCAAACAACAATTGTTTACAACAATGAATAAACGACCACATAAAATACGTACATAGGACTGGGCCGAAGCAAATTTTTGCCAAAACCATTACCTCAAGAAATAAATATGCTGCTCTCGGAATGTGATATAGGTTGTTATCCAGACGCTAGTGAAAAATCACCGTCAACAGCATCAATTACAGCAACAACAACACCAACACCAAAAAATGTCGATGCAAAATCAGAAAACTTACAACACACAGCTGCTGCTGTCGGTTGTGTTGATAGCCGTAATGCAAATAATCTAGACACATCATTAGATGACGATGATGACGACGATAACCGAATTGGGTGAGTATGGTGTATTTCTATCTCTATGAGTTTAAGTGTGCTTTGTGTATTGGATGTGTATGCGTGTTTGTTAGTGAAAGTGAATGAGTGATTCCTTATTTGTCGGTTGTGAAGAGCATTCGACAAGCGTTGATTTATCACCTTGGCAATCGATCGAATGAAATGAGCAAGCAAACAAACGAGCTGCCACATCATCTCTGCTATTCCACACAATGCTCATCATGAAAGCAACGAAATCAGAACTGCACCTTTTCCGTTTACGCTGTCATGTACTCCCTTCATCATTCTCCTTACATATTCGCACACTTGCCATTTTCTCTTTAGATTTACTCACATCCCGGTAAACTCTTATTCGGCCAAATTTTCCGAACCAAATTACAATGCAAACAGAGAAACACCAGAAACAATAGAAATCATTGTATACCAACTGACAAAATTCAATTTCATTTTGAAGTACATGAGAAAAAAGTATTCGCATCGATATTGATACAAAAGCATAACATATTTAACATTTGAAAGTGGAAATTGACGTTTATATGAGTGAAACTAGCATTTGAAATGCATCGAAAGTTGATCTCTTCTCTTTCATCCTTTCACTTCGTGTGTGTGTAAGTTTTTTTTTATTTGGCTGTCTATGTTTGGATTTATTACGTTCGAAAGCTGTTGAACTCAAGCATAACAAAAGCATCAATCTGAACAAGTGACATGGAACTGAAGTGGATTATATTTTCGTTGAACGTCTTTATGTGATGATTTTGCTGTGAGAGGCAACAAACGAACAGGGAACGAGAGGATACACAAAGATACATACAAAGAAAATAAACGATATAATTTCCTAAAGATCCAAGGAAAAGTGTTGATTGCAAAAGCACTGTTTGCTTACCGACTATTTTCAACTTTGGTAACTTTGTCTTCAAAATTCTTTGTCACAAAGCGCAATTTTCGCCGAAAAAGAAGAAAAAAATGTTGTGAATGAAACTTATAGTACGTTTTTGAAATATTGAATTCTTCATTTTGGCAAAATCGCACATCCACGCAATAAAAATGAGAGAAAATCAAAGGCTCGCATTTGTTCAATTTGGATGTTTGTCATCCGCTAAATTGATGCAGTTTTCTAACAAAGTTCGATCAAATCGTTTGTGCACAACAATATTACGCAGAACATTTGCAACTAAAACATGTTATTTCCTCTAATTTTTTCTCTTTCAATCGTAACTTTTGAAAAACTGTGAGTAGTAGCACACACTCAAAGGCATATCATCATCCATCAGTGTCATTAATTTTTGAATGAAATCCTTTTCGAACAATAATTTGTGCGAAACATTTGAAGTTTAAAGAGCTTTCTCTCTCGACGAGGGGTAGGGGAGAATAGAGGAAAGAAATTCTGTTCGTTTTCATTTTCTTTTTTATAGTTCAACATAAGCATAAAACTTGATAATAAATGTGTGCGTTTTGAGATAAATCATTCCGGAAGAAAAATGTCCATTCGTTGTGTAAGAGTTTTGATCGATTTTTCTATCGCGAAAAATAGTTGAAACTTTCAAAATTTTACTTCTAATATTTATCATCGATGATAGATAATATATGGGAGAAATGCCGTCGTATGATTCCAAAATGAATGAATTTGCATCTAGATTATGATAATTAAAATGATTACATTTTCTAGGCAACGACACTGAATGAACAAAATCGGAATCACATTGCATCGAGTAGACAATGGAAATATAAAACAGATTATTCAGCAATACTTGAATATTTGTGACACATTTCGCTTTGGTGGCATTCAATGCATTAGCCTCGAAAAGTTGGCGCAATGAATTTCGAATAACAGTTTCGATTCGATAGTAAGAATACCAATTATGTCAGAAATTTATTGCTATGATTACCACATTCTGGTAATTGATTTACTGAAAATAAAGACGAAATTGTGTTCATTTATGATGTCGAACACCAATGAAGGGCTCGAATTTCAAGAAAAACGCTCTCTTTTTTTCAAATGTTCAAAAATTTGGCATTTAAATGTTCAGTCAGATCCATTCTCTAAACAAAAAAAAAACGACAATGAAACAAATTGAACACTGATTGTGCCTGTCTTATTGTTCCACTCTAGCCTAATCATTGTAAATTAAATCAGGAATGTCATTTTGAATTGAGCACATTTCCAATATTTGAAATGAAATTTCACCATGAAACACATTGGCAATATTATGTGATGGAGAGCACTCCCTGATTTTGTCGGCAAATCGCTAGAATCTTATGCTCAGAAATTAGTGTCAATCGTCGTCAATGAGAAGAGCACGATTGGCAGACAAAGTTGGAAATAGATTCGGATTAATCACTATGGTCAGTTTAGATTAAATTCGAAGTGATTGCCACATGGCTTCTAATTAAAGCAAAACCACAATAACCAACTCGGTCGCCAGCCATAAATGTATTTTCGTAAAAAGCATTTTGATTTTTGATTCAAATCAAACACTGATAACAGTCCCGCATTATTACAAATGTATTCCGATACGAAAACTTCTATATATGGATAAATACGAGCCACCACAAAGTGCACGGTGTCAAGACACTCAAACAATTTTACGCATTTTCCACCCAGATATAAAATCCGATATGCGTCAAAAGATACGCTATTTTATTTATTATAACGTTGTTGAGAAAAGTATGTGTAGAACGTCTTCATTCAATCGAGCTTTGTGTTCCGAATTGAAATTAGAAGAATGATTTGAATTTTTAATGTGAAAAAAATAAATAATGAAACTTCATTTGAATATGTTTGTTTTTCTTCTTTTGTTTTTTTTTTATATAAAATACGAATTAATATTTATTGAGTTTCTTACAAAACAAAATTGGATGATTGTTCGAGGCTCAATGATAAATAAATAAAACAATAACATGCATTTCAATCGTACAATATCAGTTGTTGTTTGTGAAGGTAAAGTTTGTGTATTTCGTTCGAATTAAGAAAATAAATTCTTGAAACGGCCATTGAATGTGGATAAATATCTCTTCACTTCCGGCCAAATGATTCGAATTGGGTAAACATTCAAATCGAAACGAATGATTTGGTCAAATGGAAACGAAAAAAAAGTAGAAACTTGTTCATCTGGGCTTAAATACATCATGCATGGAATGAGGCAGTAAATCGGATGTGGTCGGTTTGCGTGCCATGAAATATTCAACAAATCGGTATATATCTTGATTTTTGAAATGGTAGTTAGTATTGTACTAAAAGAGCCATCGCCATCATCCATCCATACGCATTTTATGCGAACAAACAAACCATCCGCACCATCTTTTCCATATTGATGACTATCGAAAATGCAGAAGAAGAAAAAATAAAGCCAAGAGATACAACCATAAAAATTGGTATATGCAATCGCATTGAAAATAAACTTATGAATCGCATCATACTCCACCGTCACCGTCAACACACATCCACCCAATGAAATGGCAGATGGGGATTGATGCCATTAATTTGAGCAAAAGCATCAAACATGTCGACCAGAAATGTTCTTTCTTCGACACACAGACACACACGCAATGAGACACAATTCCTTTGAGCGACGCACTTATTTAATGTGGGACATATGCGGTTTTTCACGCATTCACACAGACAATCACAACGACGACGAAAGACAGTTACTTTTGATGAAAGTTTCTGTCGAACACACTTGATGTCTTGTCTTTCAGTCGCATTTTGATTTTTATATTTTGTTGCTGTTGCTGCTGCTTTTTTTGTATTCACTGGATGGTGTGTGATTCAATTTTTCCCCTTTCTGACGACTATGGTTTTTTTTTTCTCGTACCATTTGAACTGATTTGAGTCTGTGATTGTGGACAAACTGTATGAATGCATATGGTGTGAGAGAGGGCAAACAAGCGTGTTGAGTCATAAAGCCAAAATGTGAATATGTTATTTAATGTTACAAAACCTCTAGCCTCTTCACTCTGATTCTCTTTATTGATTTCATTTAATTTATTCTGTGTCCTCCAATCGGATGGAAAGTAGCACACACACACACATTCGATGTGCCGTAATCCCACATTCACATGCTTGCTTTGTCACTTGAGCACACGCACTTGTTACGTGCGAATTGAATTTGTTTAAGCAAACATTAAGAATTGATTTGGATGATATAGCCATTATGTCGACTTTACTTTCTTTTTTTTGCCTTCGCCTTTGGTCACCCATTTTCCATTCGATGGCATACGTAATTTCGAACAGTATGCGAAAGCAAAAGAAAGAATGGAATTCTGAAAACATGTGCTCACGCATCACAGCACACCAGTCACACTCTCAACATATCGCATTGATTTGATGAAATGAAAAAAAAAATGTATCATCAATAAACAAATTCCAACGAACAAAAACCAGACCAATGCAAATGTCGCAACGTTTGCTTTTATCGACGCACATCGATACAAATGAATCAACTTTTGCTGTTTTTTGGGATGACCCTTTTTTCTACTCTATTCACAAAGCAACCTTGTGCCATGCCATAATTGAGCAATGCCTGCCCGTTTAAATGTAAACATACGTTCTCGTCCAAATCAGATGTTGTCGAGTGGCCAACGTTACGGCCAGAAAAACTAAACAGTTCATTGACGATCATTTGAAATAGGAAACCCATTCTCAATAAAAGGACTCGTTTTTTTTCACACAGCATGCAAATAACATATTTTTTTTATTTTTTTAAATCAATATTAAAATATCATATAACCATTATTTTTTTTCTCTCTCTTTTCGTTTGAAATAACATAAAATAATAGTTGTCCGCATGGAACACCGTCTAGGATACCATTAATTGCCTTGAATCATCGACCAAAGTGCAGAGAATTCATTGAAAAACAACGCGACAACATTGATCCGTATGATGGAAAAGTTGATACAGTTGACGAATATCCGGAAATGTTGCCGAACAATATCGACGATGATGTGCCGTGCGAAACGCAAGTTCCAATCATAGTTATTGTATCGATTTTAACCATTTATATATGCATTGGCACGGCAATATTTTCGATATGGGAAAATTGGAGCTTTATTGATGGTGCATATTTTTGCTTTGTCACAATATCAACGATTGGCTTTGCCGACTTGGTGCCACGCAAAACATTCCAAGGACCCGATCTACAGTTATTCGCATGCTGCACATACTTAATCGTCGGTTTGATTTTGGTAACAATGTCATTCACATTGCTTGAATCACAGTTAATGTGGCGATGCAGACGCATGGCAATGCGACTCAAACGAAGAAAAAACTAAATTCGAGGCGAAAAAGAATTATATTGAAAGAAACCAACATAAATTGTACTAAATGTAGTTAGGAAACCGAATAACAAGTTAAGTTCAACACATTTTTTGCTTCGGTATCGAGAGGGAGAAAAAATGGAGACACAGAGGAAAAACATTTTCATAAAATATTCGCAATATATTTGAATGCATTCATGGGTATGCGCGCGTGTGTGTGTGTGTATGTATCGGAGCATTTTTGTTCAATTTTTGTCGCTTTTCGCGACCGAGAAGCTTATCAAAACTAACTTCTATATTCGTTACACAGTAATCTGGTTTCTGGAAATGAATGTAAATTGGTAAAATCACATGCTAGGTTTTGCATTAAATTATCCACTCTCTCTTTTCTGGTCGTTATTCGTTCCAACGAAAATACCATTTTTGCTGAACTCTATTCAACTCACATTGAACGAACGTTTGAAATAACACATTTACTCGAATTATTAATTTACGATGAAGTTAGTCATGTCTGGATTTTGAAATAATATATGTGTTCTAACTATTTTATTTTCAATTTGCATCGTTTGACAAACATTTTATTTTGAAAAGACAATCGAATATTATTGTTTTCGCCAAGGATCTCAAATCGCTTTAATTATTACAAGTATTTATAAATTTGGTACTCGTTTAAGAACAAATAAAATATGAGGCTTACTTTGAATTCCAAAAGCATGTAGCTTTTAAAAACATAAACAAAATGGAAATGCAATACTGATTGATAAAATAAATAAAACCCATTGCCAAAATTAGTGTTAAAACTTGCCTTTTTATCCAAATTTTATTCAAAGTTCGTATTTTATTTTATTGAATAGGTAAGCTATTTCATTTTCAGACGATCGCCTTGTTGATAGTTTTAATCAGTGTTTATCACAGTCACCGAAAATTGTACCTAAGGTAAAAGCTAAAGAATCAAAGGAAAGGTCACTCTTTAAGAAGATAGATTTCAAACATAAATTGGTAAGTCGTCTCTGAAAAACAAATAAAATCACTATTTCCGAATACTACGACTCAATGTACGAAAAATGATACATTGCGTACATATTTTTTCGGATAGGTAGTCAAATTCCAGTCGATGTCAAATGTCAAAAAATCGTTTATACCACTAAAATGTATACAACATGATATAATGAATATCATAATCGGAATATTTTTTTCTAAAAAGGTAATGTCAAATGCCTTTATAAAGTCCCTACCGCAGTTTCTTACACTTTTTTACTCACACACATGAATGGCTATATTCGGAACCTACACACATTGAAGTAATACAATGAAAACTAGATGACTTGTCGTATAAAATTTGGAACTAGTGGACACTCCGTATAAAAGTGTATTTGTCCATCTAATTTCATACCAAACATCGTTTTTGTGTATTCTCTTTTGTGTGGTTCTTCTTCGTTTATGCTTTTTTGTATGAAATAAGATGGAAAAATACAATTTTATACGGAGTGTCAACTAGTTCCGAATTTTATACGACAAGCCATCTAGTTTTCACTGTATAATTTCTTTGTGTGTAGGGATCGTAGATAATGTTAAAAAAAAGATCATCACGATCGGTTGAAAAGTGGCCGAGATATGGTCAATTCACCAAAAATGCCCAAAAACCTCAAAATTGGTCGAGTGATGTGTTTGTATTTTTGCATTTTGTCCGTAGTATCTTTTAAATTGTCTGAAATTATTTTTTTTTTTCGAAAGTAGGAGGAAATCTGCGCCAACTAATTTCTCAGTTTCATAAAATTCATTGCGTAAGTGGTTTTGAGGTCGAACATTTTTAAACGGACGTAAAGTCGTTATCCGTGAGAGTAATGACAGTGAGCCTCAAAACAGCACTATGATTTCCCTACGTAAAATTTACCGATTTTCCAATGCAACAATGACATTTTGGACATACAAATAGCTTGTTGAACTATATCCAAAAGACCAGAAAATGTGTTAACAATCAAATGTGCTACGGCTTTTTAATGTAACAATATCAAATGCGGTGTATTCATTGTAAAATTGCGAGGTAAAATTTCGTTATTTTAGTTGTAGAACTTGGTAGACAAAAAATCTTATAAAATGACGAATTCAACTAAATTCAACACATTCGTGAATAAATGTGTTATTGCTATTATGAAAATATTTTTCTTGCATTATTCCATTGTATTTGGCATTGACATCCATTGCGTGCGAGCGTTCAGTGCCATTTATACATTTTGTTTGCATATTTCCGCACCGTTCGCTATTGTTGTTGATTGCTTTTCTCCGGCCGTTTTACGGCTTCTAAACATATCCCAAAAATTAGCGTATGAGTTTGCATCAAAGCTGTTTCATTTGGCATTGTTGTCGTAAACGACGAATGAACGCAATATATACCTGGCAGTGACGAGCAACACTCGAAATATTTACCTTGAATGTCTGTGTGTGAAGAAAAGTTATGCTAATACATGAGATGAGGAAAAGTTGAAGTAGCGCTTGAAAATCGCTTGCGTTGTTTGCCTATTCAAATTTGTTACTTTCATTTGTACGACATGTAATCTGGCAATTACTAAAAATATGTAAAATCGCACCAAAATGCTAGAGACACATAGTACACATCAACCGAATAAGAAATACGAATAAATATGTGCGTGTGTGTGTGTGCACATTTTGAATTTCCCCAAAATGTTCCATAAACATTCGCCGCAATTGATGCCATTCAGCAATTATTTGGATACTGTACTCCCGTTCTCTTCTCACCATTTTGCATTCAATGTGTATATGTTTTGCATCTATGTTTCAGACAATTTTCTACATTTTTTTCCATTACCATTTTGAGACAATGGAATAAATGTGTGTGCACGCTGCGCATCGTTGGAAGAAGAACCCTTAGAAGTTAACATTTTCATGTAATGTGCTTTTCATTTGGCTGTTTAATTTCCATTTTCCATATATTTAAATAACAGTTCAAACTGAAAAATATTCAGACAATCGCAATTCTATTACTTTTTTGTTCTGCTCTCATTCGTCGAAATGAAACTAATTGCACCATTGGCAGCAAAGCAAATTGTTTAATAGATACAGCAAACTAAAAGATCGAGCGCCTTTAAAAGGTATTCTTTTCGACATCTCGCAAACAACAACTTTTCAAGAAAGATTTTTAAGTAAAAAGAAAATATATATGTAATGTTTGAAAGAACTCATCTTCTCTCTCCGTCTCTCTCTCTCTCAACCTTTTTTGCAACGAGCTAATTGCAATTTGTTTTAAGAGCATTTCGTTTGATTGAAAAGCTTCATCCAAGGAAATTGGTTGAAATTCTTGAAGCGTGAAAATTGATTATATCAAAATACATGGCACTGTCACTGCGAAAGGGTTTGTCTTAACGAAAAACATTGGTTAATGTCGCATTTCATACTTTGCAATATTATTTCGAGAAAGAAACAGAACCGAATTACAATATGAATGTGAACAACGTGAGAAACGTTTATCTGCGATCATCAACTTCTGAAAAGAGTTTTATTCGACTTTTATTCACTCCAACAAGTCTTCGATCTCCCTTGTCTCTATACAAACATTGTCATAATTTGTACTACATTGCCGAATGTTGCAATCAGTTGAGGTTGATTTATAATCCAGACCTTTTCAGTTGCAAAATATATGAAATCATTGAATTCTTATGCTTTTTTTCTATATATTTATTACACTTCACGTTTTTCGTTTGCGAAAAGTTTTGCGCCGGTTTTTGATGAATGTTTGACGAATATTTTTGCTGCTTATATATGTAGTTCATATTCATGACCAGAGTCGTTAGAAAAACTTTGCTCACTTTTTACGAGAGATTATTTGCAATTTGCATACATCAGATGGTTCGATTGTCGATGTTGATTCTACCAAGTTAGAGAGAGAGAGAGGGAAAAAAGAGAAAAGGTAAGAAATAAACACTGAATCCATCTGTAAACATACGAGTGAGACTCTCACTGTGAGATTGAATGTATTTCAATAACTCTTACCGTATGCAAATTTCAAGTGTTCAATATTACATAAGTTTTGAAGTTGGCAACGAGAAGATTATTTCAATTTTGAACAAAATATTTTTTGAAGGGGTTATGGAACGGAAACGAGTGAGACTCAAACATGTGCTTCTTCTTCAAAAACAATACATACACAAGCATCACATGAACGCAGAAGTCAATGAGTATTCATCACAGAAACTAAACTGAGAAGCGCGCGCATGTATTTGTGTTTGCACTCATCACTGTGCTGTTATGGCGCATACTTGTGATGTTTGTGAGTTAGTGTGTATGTATTGTTTGTGAAGAAGAAGCAAATGTTTCAGGTTCACTCATTTATATGTAAATAACATAGTTTTTCCGGCCCCTGGGAAGGGTAATAATAAAAATCTATCTGCTATCCATGCTTGTGCAAAATCGATTTCGCAAAAAGTTTCGCAGATCCAAAAACCTCTTTTATTTCTAATTAAATGACTTTTTAAAATTTTGTCTTAAAATTTCACAAATTTGGATAATTTACATCGTAGCTTTTCAAGAGCGGTAATATTCCCAAAATGGGTCCGGTATTAAATAAATACACGAATAATGATAACAGCCAAAACAACCGAATTGAATTTCAAATGCTCGACAATTTGTTGACAGAAAAATCTCATATTGCTGCATATCATCAACTTGTAAAATATGAAGGAAGACGAAGAGAGACAGAGAGAGAAATCGTGAGAATTTTTCAAATATTTCTATCAATCGAAAAAGGCATACATAGTATTGGCTCAAGGCATGTTATTCTGCTGTTGAAATCTCATTTGAGTCTCACTGAAAGCATAGATTCTTTTTTATATAAATCTTCATATCACGACCATGTAAAATGTTACAATCGCAAAAAGTAATGTTTGTCTAGTCTGGCGTTTTTAACCAGATTCAAAGTACCAATTCATGTTGTTCAGCCAATCGAGCGGATAATTTTACTACACTGTGTGTGTTGTGCCTGTCTTTGGTGCCACACACACACAACCACCCATATGCGCATCCGAGTTTCAAAAAATTCATGTGAGGGAGCGTGTGTGAATGAAATCACTTTTTTTTACTTTAGATGAAAAATGAGCGTTTTTGTCACAAAACGACACTTTTGATGGCATGATATTTGGCCTAAATATCGATTTCCACTTTTTAGCTTTCCATTTTGAAAACTTCAAGAGCATTTTCACTTCCATTGGATGTCATTGAATTTTAGTATGCTTTTTCCATCACAATTTTTCCTCTCTTACAAATCGGATTAGATAAATTTCGATTAAAACTGGTTGGTAGAAAGTGAAAGCATGATGATACTGAGATATTTTTTTTTCATATTTCCGCATTTGAATTTTCTATAGGTTTCTATAGGAAATTGAGACTTTGTTTTGTAATGCAAAATATGTTTTTGGAGGAGACCGTAACAACAACATTCCAAATAGGTTACAAGCACATCAATCCTTTTCAGTTGAATGAATGGTGCTTTTAAAAAAAAAAAAACATGAAACATTCCGGAAATGTTCAAATGGATTCATGGAAAAAGTGCCGTTAACACTCATCATTTTAATAAAGATAATTCGAATATAGCACGTTATTT